TTTCTTAAATGTCGTATTTGAGACACCCTGTACACACTAAAGAATTATACGGTAAAACAATAGAGTTCCGCTGAACCACCATGTTTTTTCTTGAATGAGACACCCTGTACACATTAAACTGTCATGTACCTTAAATGACGTATTTTGAGACACCCTGTACACATTGAAAAATCACACGTTAAAACAACAGAGCCCCGTTAAACTGTCATGTTTTTCAATGACGCATTTTGGGACATCCTGTACACATTGACGTCATGTTTTTTCAAACGATGAGACATATGTCTCGATGGTAACCATGTTTTTTTCTTCAACGCTGGTAACTATGTTTTTTTTTTCTTCAATCCGATTTTTCATTGTTTATTATTATTATACCATTATTTTAATTCAACAACACTGATGTATTTTGAGACACCCTGTATATATTGATGTCACTTTTCTTCAACCCGAGTTTTCGTTCATTATTATATCATTATTTTCCACGCTGACGTATTTGTACATGTTTTTTTCTTAAACGATAAGACACCCTGTAAGACAGTCATGTTTTTTTTTCTATTACGTTGGCAACCATGTTTTTTCTGTAACGACCGTGGTCATGTTTTTTTCTTTGATCCGATTTTTCGTTCATTATTAATATTATACCGTTATTCCACCGCGCCGCTATCTATCAAATGAATCTACTCGATGTTTATTCCATCCTTCTATGCGTCGATCACGTCTCTTTCCCACTCACTACCGTAAGTACGTCCCCTAAGGAATATGCCATAGAAACCCTGTATCCCCTCTACTGTCATATCATCAGATTTATTGATTAATTATTAATGTTTTTATTTCTTGCCTATATTTTACCTTATCTATTAGTTCCAACATATTATGATTATTGACAATACATTCGAAAAATCTTATACAATACAGACCACAGTTGAAGTTGTCTCTTTGTTCAACATGATCATAAACCTTTAGTGATAATTCTTCATTAATATTTTGAGACTTTATAAATTCCGGTAAAGCGAGACATTCTTTTACAATGTTTATTCTTTCCATAAATGATTCATTTATTTCTTCCGAATTGAAAATAACACTCACTACTTCTTGAATTATTTGATACGTATTATTGACATTTGATACATTTAACGCAATGTCTAAAACGAAATTAGTTATCCATGTTTTATTAGCTAAGGAAGCAAAATCGGAAATATTTATTTCATGTAAACAATTGAAATCTTTAAAAACTGCTACAACATATTCTCTATTGTTATTTTTATAGTAATTAATATCATTTATCAGTCCATTTGATGAAATATTTAAAATTTTAAGTGGTCTCCATTTATGTGTAGTTTCATCGATATTCCGAATACCCAGTAAATTTGGTGAATAATAGTAATAAAAGAATTCTTGTAGCACGGGCAACATTTCATTCTTGAAAAATTCAACTCTGCTCTCTATTTTTTGTCTTAATTGAATACCTCTGAAATTATAAATAACGAATTCGCACCACAGTCTATTAGTAATTTCTAGCAAACCTTGAATTTGAAAGTCAGGGTGGCAGAGTATCCTCCGATATCTAACACTACGGAATATCAAAACCAAACAGCAAAAAACGTGCATATTCACATATTGAACAGGGCCTCACTAACATGATTGTCTAATGCAAATTTCTCCGGATGTCACTTATTTATTGATAGTAACCACAACAATAATAGTCTTCGGATGATAATTATTATCTCCTAAAGATTTTTCATATTGTATTATAATACATATTTCAATTGTTGATTATCAATCAATACGAGAATTTATTTTTATGAACTAAGTCTAGACCGGTTATATTAATAAACGAAATGTTGCATTACCATAGCAACAAATAATAAGTTATAAGATCCCGAGAAAGCTGAATTATAAGGAACGCTGAAACGTTTTTCAACACTCATTGTAAGTGTAAAGTTTCATGTCAAATAGTCAAATTAAATATGAACTTTGAAAAAACGGATGTCGATCGAAATTGTACTTGAATTGTTTAGTAGTTGAGCAGTCCATGGGCTGAAACGAATATTTGAGGCATTGTATATTTTGTATGATGGAAATGAATAACTGTAACACCTCCTTCATCCATCAGATATGGCTTCATTTTGCTATCATGTCTTTTCACAACTAAAGAGAGGTATAGAAGTTGTTAAATTTATTTCCAATGAAGCGGTGATACGAGTTATGACGTTCGAGTTTGCAGAGCAAAATAAATATGTTTGAAGGGTTTAGATGCATTGCAGTTTCTCTGTATTGAATATATTCAATTAGGATGATGTTATGATTATTATGTTACAATAATATAATTTGATTTTCAAATATTTTATTAAGCAATTCCACAAAACATCCACATATGTAGGTATGCCATGGAAATCTAATTATATGATCTGAATTATTCCAAAGTGAATTTTTCAGTGAATACTTCTCAGAGGGCCAGTCCGATGCTTATCAGTATTCCTCTAACCACTTCCATGACAAACTCATGATTTCGAATTTTGATCAGTCTGGCTGATACTCTTTACAAGATGTTAGTGATTTTGAAGTACCTAAGATGAAAAACAAAATTTTTCATTCGCAGGTCATCTAGAGAATATGTACCGAAAAAATATTATGACGAGGAATGGCATCTTTGGAGGCACCTACATAACAACAAAAAATCTTTTTTTAATAATTTTAAATGTTATAAGGGGGATCTTTTCTCGGCACCAAACCATTTTGCCCTTACACATTGCGTGTCTGGGGAATGTCACAGGATATAGCAGTACATTTCAAGTAAGTAACATGTATTTTAGTTATTCAAAGAAGGAAAATATATAAATCCCATTTTAGGCGCAGATTCGGACGAATAGACCAACTTCTCCGACAAANAAAAATATTTTTTTCGAAAATTTATTTTTCGCAGTGTATGACCCAAACGCGTCGTAAGCAAGGAATTATTTTCACGGAAGGATTAGATTGGGTCACTGTGATCACATTGCATTATATATCGTCTAAGCAGTCGGTTGCGAAAGGTATCAAAAATATTTTTTTCGAAAATTTCTTTTTCGCAGAGTATGACCCAAACGCGTCGTAAGCAAGGAATTATTTCCACGGAAGGATTAGATTGGGTCACTGTGATCACATCTTACTATATATCGTCTAAGCAGTCGGTTGCGAAATGTATCGAAAAATTTTTGTGAAAATTTCTTTTTCGCAGTGTATGACCTAAACGCGTCGTAAGCAAGGAATTATTTTCACGGAAGGGTTAGACTGGGTCATTGTGATATATCCCACTATATATATCGTTTAAGCAAAAGGTATCGAAAATAATTTTTCTGAAAATTTCTTTTTCGCAGTCTATAACTCAAACGCGTGATAAGCAAGGAATTATTTTCACGGAAGGATTTTCCTGCAGCTGAAAAAGCAAATACGCCACTGGAATCAATGAAGTCGCCCCGGAGCGCCAATTAAATTTTTATTGTTGTTTTTATTTTTATCGTTGTTTTGATAAAGGATTAGATTGGGTCACTATGAGAACAAAGTTATTCCACAGTTCCATGCATAGTGAAGCAATTTTATGACAAAATGGTTTAGACTTTCACGGCTTAGGTTTTCAGTATCATTGCTTTTCGAGTTTGAAAGCCGTGGATTTTTGGAATTTCTTTCTGACGTTTCGCTCGCGCGAGTCGCTAGCTTCTTCAGAGGTTTAACCATCATGGCTTGCTGTCCGATGACTACCTTTTAGGCTTCGTAAAGCGTATTTATGCCTTGTCAGGTAATCAGTTGTATTTGTACCTGCACTTGTACCTACACCGAATTAAATAATTTTCAAAGAAAAATTCATAACTCTTTCGATTATTCTTCGGATTTTTTTTTCCTTGGAATGCATTCATTTCAGCGTAGTTGAAAAGATGCCTATGTCAAAATATTTTGTCAAGCAGAAAAATCAACCCCCACCCTGAATAAAATAATTTAAAAAAAAATCCATAACTCTTTCGATTATTCTTCTTCTTTATTTTTTTTTCAGATGATATTAAAATGTTTAGGACAGTTCAAACACCAGATGATTGCTAAGTATTACAAATAGATTTAAGTATCTTTAGTGAATGGTGTTCTCAAAATGATATGATGTTCAATGTGAATAAATGTAAATATGTATGACATACTATCTGAGTACTAAAACTATTTATTGTGAAATATCTTAAACTTAATTGGGTGTTACCCGTTAATGAATAAATAAATACATAATTCATTGTGAAAATCTATTCAACTCAATTGGGTGTTACTCTTTAATGAATTAAATTAAATTAAATTAATTGAAGGGGGTTGTTGAGAAACTTCTATCTTGTATGACAGATTAGATATTTGATTTTTTTCTAGGTTAAGATACATCTGATTTCCCCAAATTCATCTTTCAAGTAAATCCAAAAGATAGTTGTATGCAACTTGATTCATTTCAACTATGTCAGCTATAAACAAGGAGAATAATATTGGAGCTTACATACCTCCACATGGAACTTCAAATCTATGTACTATCTAAATGAATTGTACTAATCTGCCCTTTTTTATTTGCAACATATTTTGATGTTTCCTGCCAACACAATATGATTTGAACCAGTTAAATGCAGTTTCTCGAATTCCACACAGCTGAAGAAGCTTCTGAAGAAATGTACATAATCAAAAGTTTGGCGTAAATTGCGGAATATACCTACAGATCTTGTTTTGTATATTTCTGATGGTACACCATTATAAACATTTGCAATATGTTGTGCTTCATATGATCATTATAAATGGTTATTTTTCTGGATGATATTTTTCTGCAATACCTGGCAATACCTACTCATAGTTGAGTAGTTATATCAGCTCATTAACTGGGTGCAAAAGAATAGAGAAGTAAAATTATGCACTGGTCATTTCAACACGAATTAAATATTAGAATTATCAACCAAATGAAGAGTAACGAGAATCATTCTGGAATCAACATAAATTAGAAAGTAGGAAAGTAATGAAGTAGATCACTTTTATTGAAAATTTAAACTTATACATCTTATATATGGATCAATAAACTGGAAACAACGTTTATGAACATTCAAAATTATCTACGGTGTCTTCTTGATGAATAATGTTTTTCCCTTGATTTACTTCTTGAACCACTCGAAGACCTCTTTCTCTTGTTAGATCTGGATCTGGATCTTCTTTTACGCCCCCTAAAAATTACCAAAAATGTGATTCCTAAACCGACATGTAGATCATGCAATTAGCCTGGTATAAATTAAAATACAGATTTTGTATTTTTTCAGAAGTAATTATTACCAACAAATACAAACTAGTAACTATTAATTACCTTGAGTGATCACTGTCAGAACTACTGCTACTACTTGTTGAGCTGAATCTCTTTTTGGATTTTGAATCTTTCTTTCCATCTAATTCACGCAGAACTTTATAAGTTTTCAGCAATTTTTCTTTCTCAAATGCTTCTCTTTTCGCTTTTTTAGCTTTTTCCAACATTTCACTTTCTTCTTTTGCTTTTCTCTGTTTTTCTTCCATTAATCTCTGAAAAAGATAAATTGACAGAGATTGAATGTCTAAGAATGAGTTTAAACAGACCGAATTTCTTAATGTTCCTCTTGAAATGATCACTTGGTGATCAAAACACGTGTCGAGGTGTTAAAATAACGATTTGGTGTCGGGAAAAAACTCCAGTAATATTCAAACTCAATTCCTGTTTTTTAATGAGATTTTCAAAGAGTCTGAGTAATAAGACAAATGCAGATATTTTTTCAGGCGCTTTTTAGTTTCGAGTTGTGAATACTATAGGGTGTTGTAAATATTGTATGGTGCCATACTATAAAAGACCTATTATGTGAAAATAAGTGGCATAAGCACAACCATCAGAAAGCATTTTGATTTGATGTAAAATCGATAAGGATTAGGAGTAATCATTTTACAATAGAAAAATGTTTGTATAGGAGATATAAGTGAGTATGTGAAAATGGATAAAAGGGTTTCATTGATATTTGAGCAACTTACCAGTACCTAGGTACAGTAACATAAATTATTTTTGAAAATTCGTTTCGTTTCTCTTCTATTATGTCTAAACTCCCATAACCAATGAATCCAATTCACAATGAAGCGGGAAACTCAAGAAACTATCGCATCTGAGATAGACTAGTGAACAGGCATGAAGATTGAGTCATGTACATTAAACCAATGCACATAGTATCTGAATAAAAACTTGTGGCAGATAACAATTTCGGCATTTCTGCAACTTTGGAAAAACCTACATAGTGAAGGACACTCCTACAAATTGATGAGGAATATAAATCAGGACTGTGTGGAAAATTATTTAGGTCAACTGAGAAATACTTGTGGAAATGCCAGAAACCCAACTCCTATTCAAATTACCAAAGCTTTCAAAAACACGTTAACTCTTCAGTATTTCACACAGGCAGAAGGAACTAACTGTATAGAAGATACTAGTGAGATTTTATCTAAAATTACAGTTGCTGACATAAACCTTTGAGAGTAGAGATAAATGATTATAGAACTCTAGCCACTTCCGAAGGCAACAGCTTGGGCTATGTTTGTGGATATCTTTTGAGAAAATTTTTAAGAAAAAAATTTTTGACACGGCGTGGCGGCTAGTACCACATTGAATGAAACACATGTATATAGTTATTTCAAGGCATACAGTAATACAGAGAAGCCAAACTGTTTGGAAGTTTATATAAGCCTAAAGATTAATTTTTACAAAGTATCATTATTCTAGACACAGAATTTCTTAATCATTTTAACAATTTATATGCCACTGATTGCATAAGCAACCAGCACAAAACAATGTTTTCAAAAATCAACATTTCTCACCCTTGTGATAATTTTCCTTTGCATTATTTAGGGGTAAGGATTCATTATACTTTGAAATTCGCCAATAGAAATTTGGAAACAAATGTAAAAAAAAAAAACAAAAACTCATTATTCTGAAAAACCTTTAGAATAGATAAGCATGAGTTTTTGCTCTAAATTGTATAGTCTTACTTTACAAAATATACGTTTATTTCACCACCTTGTCAATGATGAAGTCAGATTATGGTACATATTTTGTGATCGAACCTCGACGCCGACCGGAAGTGAAATTACTTCTGTGTACTTCTATAGGGTGCCATGGGTGAGTCGAGTATGACCCATTCACAGGTGAGATAGAATAACCTGGACTTTCCCATTTATCGGAAGATGTTTCCATGGAAGTACACATGTTTTTACTGGATTTTGCCATTTTTTTTAGTGAGAGATCAACTACACCTTTTCCATTGACACCATGACTACCCCTTTACCGTTAAGTATTTCAAGTACTTCTTGTATATTCCTTCCTAATTGCTTCAACGGCACTTAATAAGTCAGATTTAATCAGAGATTTCATGCTCTTGCTCTTCTCTGTGTACTGCAGCGTTTTCCAAAGAGCATATAGTTTTTCAGTTAATACTGTTTTTCTAGAGAAATTTTGAAAAAATATCTGATACATATTCCTTTCAACAATATTTTCTACTTTACTTCATAATATATCTTGCTTTGGTCCTCAAACATTTGAATTCCGTATGGTGTTCAGAAGTTTGGCTACCAATCGATCGGTTGGTCGGTCGGTAGCCGGTTGATTCGACGTGGGTGCTTTGTTCTGGTGTAGGTTTAGTCTAAGTAACCGATATTGTGAATAGTTAAAGCTGTCGGCGAGCTCAATGGCCATAAAAACTATTACAAAGAAATGATGTCGCTGCCAAGTAATCCAAGTGGACTGAAGAATTGATGGTTCAATTGGATAATTTTTACTAACCAAGTTTTATGAATGGCTGAAGAGTCATAAAATTAAATTTGAGGTCATGTTTCAGTGACGAATAGAATGCGAGGATGTTTATATCCGGCGTGTTGTCAATGTTCCGTTCAGGAACTGATCGCGATTTGACTGTTGAAATTCGATATTGGTGCAGTAATAATTACTTGAAATTTTTGTTATCTGTTTAAAATGTGGCGTCCTTGGACAAGTACTAATAGTAATAACGAGTGTGATAACAACGCAGACTTTTTCTTGTGTAGTGATTGCAATAGCGATGGTGAACAATGCGAAAAAGAGATACCAGTGAATAAAATTCGGATGCATTTGAATATTGATGTTCATCTGATAAAATCGTCAAAAAAACAGTATACGACTGTTACAAAAGCAATGAGATTCCTACAACTGAAATCATAAGGAAGAAATTGAATACTTCCGACCATAAGGTGAGCAGCTGCTGTGACAAAACTCTTTCAGAATTGGATAAAGAAACTAGGATTTAAATTCAAAATAATAAACAAACGACAGCAGTTATAGAAAGCAGAAGAATAGTGAATTGCGTAACAAATACTTAGAATCGCGCTAGAAAATAAAAATGTTTTTATGAATATGTTCTACATGGGCTAGTGTATTACTCCCTTAAAGGTTGGCACCCAGCTACCAAACACCCTGTATATTAAATGCACAATGTACTCAGTTGGATAAGGATTAATGCTTTATTGCTTAAAATCACTTCGTGAAAAAGTGAAGGAAAAAAAAAAGTTATTGTGTTGTAGACCTTTTCAAGGTACCTATTTATTCTGACAAACTGTATGTAATTAGCTGATTTGTGCCAAATAAATGACCAATTTATATAGCATTACTCACGTTGTCTTAGTGGTCTTATTGTTAACCCCAAAAGTTGAAGGTAGGATACTTTCAAAACATATTCATCGAACTTTTTTTCTTAAGACTAAAATTAAGACAGACAGGGATTTATATATATATATA